AAAAAAAATGTGGTGGTTGATCCTGTATATTTCACCTGCAATAAAAACTATTCTAGACAATAATCTTCTCTTTTAAAATATCAACTCCCCAGGGAACTTTGGTTTCATGATCTACATATGAAGATCTACCCACTATTTATGTTTTATTGAAAATACATTATTTAAAGCCAGGAGTGGTGGCATGCACCTGTAATGGCATGCTCTGGGGGGCTGAGGCAGGAGGTTTCAAACTTGAAGCCACCCTAGATGACTGAGCAACTTAGACCTTGTCTCAGAATAAAAAATAAAGAAGAACTAGGAAAGTAACTCGATATGAAGGCCCTGGGTCTGACCTCCAGTAGGCCCCTTCCCAAAGGAGAGAGTGTATCTTTCAGACTTTGCAAATAAGGCTGCATTGACTTAAATTTTTAATATATTTACATGAGCGTTCTTGGGCTAGCCAAATAGCTCAGCAGACTAAAGTGCCTGCTTAGACAGAACACAGCAGCCGGGGTTCGATCCCCCGAGTGCGTGTCAGCCCCACCCCTGGGGCACTGAGATGGCAATTGAGACTGGGTGTGGTGGCGCGCCCCTGTGATCGCAGCACTTAGGAGGCTGAAAACAGGAAGATCACTATGAGTCTGACCTACATAGTGAGACCCTGTACAAAATACATGAAAAGGGCCCGGGGAGATGGCTCAGTAGAATAAGCGCTTCCCTGGCAAGGGCCTGAATTCAATTCCTGGTTCTGCCAAAAAAAAAAAAAAAAAAAAGACTAATGTATTAGCATTCTTCACTGTTTTATTGCCACGTCTCAACCAAATAAATGTTCATGGGGAACTCAGCCCCTTCCTAAGCAATATGAAGGCAAATGGTGCCAAGTCTGTCCTCTCTCTGCTGTTCCCTAACTCTCACCATCTAACTGTAAGTGGAGAGAATGACAGCTGCACTGTCTTATTCCAGGAGACAGTATGTACACAAGAGGGAACAGAATTTAAAATTCATCTAAAGAAATCTAAAACCAAAGTCTTTCAATAATAGTATTTTCTTCTTAAGCCATTAAAGGGAATACATCACAAAGTTCTAATTTGGGACGGGACTTATAGACAAGAAAATGACATTACTCAAACAGATTGAAATACCCTAGGGGAGATGGCTCAGTGGAACAAGCACTCGCCTTGCAAGCACAAGGGCCTGAGTTCAATCTCCAGTTCCGCAAAAAAAAAAAAAAAAAAAAAAGACAGTCTCAAACAGATTGAAATACCCTAAAAAGAATAAACAGCTCACTGTTGTTTTTAATTCAGATTTGTTTTATATTTAAATAATAAATTTAAAAATATTATTGAAATAAAGTTTGGTTCCTGTGGAAGTTTCCCTTGAAAAAATTCTAGGGTGCAAAACAATGTGTGGTTAAAAGAGAGGGATAAAAAGCTTGAATCCGTTCGCACTTCCCATGTCGGCAGGTGCAGCGTGGGCAGCCCCTTCCCACCATGCCTGAGACCACAGCATTTCTAGTTTTGGAGTTTCTAGAATATAACTATAGCAATATTAAGAGCAGAACGTGTCTCATCTGACTTCCAGATTTAAAAACTGGTGTAAGCACTGGATTCCTTCAGAGTGCTCCCTGGTCGTGTGTGTGTAGCAGCATCTGCTTACCGCGTCTGCTTCTTGGGGCCCTGTCCTTCTCCTGCACCACTGGGCGCCACCCCGCTGCCCTGGCTTTTAGAAGGCTCTTTCCCTTGGCTGTCACTTGGTGTTTGAGACTTATTCTGCTTTTCAGATTTGTTTTCCTTTTCTTTCTTCTTCTTGCCTCTGTCCTCAGCCCCAGTGGTAGATACAGGCTTATACTCCACTCCCGCCAGGGCCTTGTACTGCGCCTTCAGCTGCAGCAGCACCTGCACAGCGGGGTCCACCTGATCCTGAGCAGAAAGGGAAGGGTATATCAAAGTCACATTCATTGTCCCAGACACACACCACACATGCGCGACAAAGTATGCCAGATGGGCTTGCAAGATACCAGAATCTGTGGCTGCACTGTCCAACACTAGTCACCAGGCATGGTCATTTCAATTTTCATAAATACTTAGGGAAACAAAATAAGATCAATACATAGAATCTCAAGGGAAAGCCATTAAGTGGTATGTGCTAAACACTTTAGGACTGGCCTGATAACTCAGCGTATTAAAGCGCCTGCTGAAGCAGAGCACAGCGGCTGGGGTTCAAACCCTGGCTTGCCAAGCTGGCCCCACCCCAGGGGCGAGTTGAGACAGCAATTGAAACTGGGCATGCTGGTGCCTGCCCATATCCCGGCACTTGGGAGGCTGAAAACAGGAGGATCACTACAAGTCCGATATGTGTAGCAAGACCCTGTTGACCTGTAGTCCCTGTACTAAATACATTAAATAAATAAATAAATAAATAAACATTTCACAAGCATAGCAATGGCAGTAATCAGAATTCCACATAACTAAACCTCAAAACCTATGACAACTTCCTGTTTTCCACACATGGGACTTGGCAAAAAAATAAATAATCCATATTAGAGTTCAAGATAAAAGTCTACTTGAGACTGACAGAGCTGTAGGAGAATCAACCAAATATGAAGGGTCTACAAGGTGGAAGGCACCACTGGGTCCAAGTCCCAAAAATCTGGGACCTCACAGATCAGCAGAAAAGGGACAATTTCACCGATAAGGATGGGGGATACAGTTCAGTGCCACAGCACTTGCCTGGCAAACACAAGGTCCTGAGTTTGATCCCCTAGTATCAAAAAACAAACAAACAAACAAGAAAAAAAAAAGTCAACAGACAATTAAAATAGTGTCCTTAAGTGCTATGCCTGGGAAGGTCAGTGTCATATGAAAAGATCCAGGCTCATCTCAGGGCAAAAACTGCCTGAAGTTTCTTTATTGGTCAAGATAAGAGTTGAGAACTGGGCTGATGAGATGGCTCAGTGGTCTAAAGCACCTACTTAGAACAAGCTTAGCAAAGCACAGGGACCGCGGTTCAATCCCCCAGCAGAACGTGCCAGCCGGCCCCGCCCCCTGGTGGGCTGAGCTGGCCACATACACATATACAAACTTTTTTTTTTTTTTTTTTTTGTGTGTGTGTGTGTGTGTGTGTGTGGCCAGCTCAGCCCACCAGGGGGCGGGGCTGGCTGGCATGTGGTGCTGGGGGATTGAACCGCAGTCCCTCTGTTTTGCCAAGCTTGTTCTAAGTAGGTGCTTTAGACCACTGAGCCATCTCACCAGCCCACACACACATATAAATAAATAAAATTTTAAAAAAATATTCAATTCAATGAAAATTAAAAAATAAATAAATTAATAAAATTGAGAACTGAGGGGCAGCCAGATAGCTCAGCGGCCTGCTTAGGCAGAGTGCAGCAGCCGGGGTTCAATCCCTGGAGTGCCATGCTGGCCCTGCCCTGGGGCAGGCTGAGACAGCGATTATTGGGCATGGTGGCACACGCCTGTAATCCCAGCACTTGGGAAGATGAAAACAGGAAAATCCCTGAGTCCAAGTTACCTAGTGAGACCCCGTACACCCTATATACCCTATCCTAAATTCATAAATAAATAAATAAATAAAAGAGTTGAGAAGTGAAGTAAGAAAAATTAGCTAACAGGGATAAAAAATGTTTTAGGCAAAGAAAAGCACGAGAAAAGCAAACGACAAAAATATGCAAAGAAAATACAATGCTAACCGTAGAAGCTTTTTCAGCTTTAAGTTTTCGAACCACTTCTCCCTGAGCAGCTACTCTGTCATACAGTGCCCTGGCCTCAGCAGTGTCCGGGCCAGCAGGCTCATGGTCTCTGGCCGGGAGGGACTCTGGGTTGGGGGCCGGAGGCGGCTGGCCGGGCACGTAGTCCTTCCCAGTTTGTTCTTTGTAAGCAGCTTTCAGGGACAGTAAGCACGCGACAGCTTCATTTATCTTAGCCTGAGACAGAAGGAGAAAAGAGATACATATTAATTCCTAAACTTTCTGAAAATGTCAGTGTGACAGCAAAATCTTTATCATCACCAAAAAGCATCCAGCCCTGTCTCCGCACATTCTCTGAGGACTGAGTATATCTGAGAAACATCGGCTCTCTGCACTGAGCACGTCCGGACTCGGTCCCTGTCATGGTTCCCGACAGCACAGTGGTCACATATCACACGCCCTGCTGCGGCATACAGCAGGAGGGACGTGCGGAGGTTACATGCACACCCTGCACTACTTTGTACGGGGCACTGGAGCCTCCTCTGATTCTGGTACCCAAATGGTCCCGGAGCCAAACTCGACGGAAACAAGGCCCAGGGAAGCCATGTTAGATCACCAGCCCAAAGAGCACATAAAGGTAACAAAAAGTTAACAATATAAATCACACACACTCTCATACAGTCATAAAAATAACCACGTATACACATTCTGCCTTATGAAAACAGACACCAATGTGAACTGCCCATGTCAGGCCCTGATTCTGTAAACAGCAAAGTCACAGTTCACAAAATCAGGATAAAGATCGCAGTGGCTTCACACATACAACCCTCCATCCTCCTGGACCTTAGCACTAGGAAAAAAGTATAAGCTGAACCAAAACACAGTTACATGCTTAAGTTTCCAACGAAGTAAGAAAGTATCAGGCGTTTCCAATTAGGCCCTCCTCCGTGTATTTCCACCTCTGAACTTCCATGACACACACAGCCCAAAACACTGATGTGACACTCCCAGAGAAGCTGGCAATGTAGGCAAGGGGCTTGAAGTGGGCGCCTTACTCAAATGATGGAGCTGCAACTACACACCTGAGAAAGGACTAAGGATAAAGCACCCCACAGCACTCTTCCGCATCATCCCAACAAGCTCACTGCTCCTGCAGGTGCAGACCAGGGCCCCAGAGGCTGAGGAGCCTGGAGGAAGCCCAGAAGCGCCATGCAGCTCCAGAGCCCCTGCAGTCTCTGCTGCTTCACTGTGTTCAGAGACTGTAAACCCCGATGTCTCGCTGTCTGCCCGCCTCTGTCCATGTCACCAGGAAGCAGGCAAAAGGAGGAAGAGGAGCCCAGGGCAGCAGGCATCTGGCTGGGACCAGAGTAGGCTTGGGCCTACTCTGGCGACAGAATCCGCAGTTACTTCACAGCAAAACCTACTTTATCTAAGAAAAGAGTACAGGCAAGCAACCAACAGGAAGGCAACTTCCATGAGCTACAAGGATGGAAACAGAAAACAAGAAACTGCCCACATCTCTAGGAAAAGAGGACCACGTGAAAGAAGTTCTCTTTTACACTATAAGCAAACACGAGCATCTGAAGGCAAAAGGTCTGGGTTTTTTGTTTTTTGGGGTTTTTTTTTGTATTTTTAGGGAAAGGTCTACAGGGTGTTGAGGTCTCACTACTAGATCGGACTCATAGTGATCCGCCTGTTTACCACCTCCCAAGAGCTGGGATTACAGGTGCACATCAGCGTGCCCCAGGAGTCAGAGCCGGCACAGCAGACTAGGGGATTAAAACCCCTGCCCCCAGCCCCGTGCCTGCTTGCAGGCGCTTTAATCCGCTGGGCTGTTTGGCCGGTCCAAGAGGTCTGGTTTTAACACAGCAAAATAACAACACTCCCTTGTTTGACAAGATTTTAATCTGACATATAAGACAGTTAATTAAGGTGAACAAACTATTTCATTACTGAATGAGATTTCCAGATATTGAATCCTTACCAGGAGAGAGCAAGGAAGGGAGGGAAAAAAAAAATTATGTATGTTTCTTTTTCTCAAAAGAAGAATTATAGTAATCACTACGCAATTTTCCCTGATGATTTGGAAAGTACTCAAAGATTCTTGAAAGAATTAGAATTGTGAATACAAAAATAAGGCTTGTTTATTCTGTGCCAGACACTGCTAAGTGCCTTGCCTGAGTTATCTTCATTTTCCAAATATAATCTTCTTCCACACGCTACAGAAGCAGCAGGCGTGGGAGCTCAAGCACTCATCCGAGCTGCACGGTAAGCAGTGGAGCCGGGATCTGCTCCAGAGCTCAGGCCAGCCCGCACAGCACTGTGGGAGAGAGACAGGAAGCGGTGACCCACCCACCTGTGGAGAACACTGCTTTCCAAGAGCCGCGTAGTACTCTAAATATGTCTCTGAAAACACACAAAACAGAAGTGAAGGAGGGAGGGCTGGGGAGATGGCTCAGTGGAATAAGCGCTTCCCTGGCAAGCTCAAGGACCTGAGTTCAATCCCCGGTTCCGCCAAAAAAAAAAAAAAAGAAAGAAAGAAAGAAAAAAAGAAGTGAAGGAGGGAAGCAAATACCCTCTTACTAGTTTGTTTTGCACGTGAAACCAGGTGCGAAGGAAAGCCAGACGCGGTGCCACAGAGGGCTGAGCGCGCGCTCAAGGCTGAGCCCCGGGTGTCCGACCTCATGCCACTACGTAGGAAGTTTTCCATAATAACTGCTGCTATAAGATTAGCAAGAAACAACCCACACAAAGACTTCCGGGAAGATGTGCAGCCAGAATGCGTGTTCACATAAGAGTGCTCACAATGCCAAGCACAGAGATGCAGACCTGCACTTCCCCGCACTCAAGACGCAGAGGCAGGCAGACAGCTTAGTCTAAGCGCCTGCCTGCCAAGTGCAAGGACCTGGGTTTGATCCCCAGTATCACATGGCATGCCAGCCCCAGAACCCCAGGCACACCTCCTGGGGCCCAAAACCAGACATGGTGGTGCATGCCTATAATCCCAGTGCTGGGGAGGCTGACACAGGAGGACCACTGTAAATCCAAGCTGCGTAGGGAGATCATGTATCCAATAAATAAATAAAAGATTAAATTAAAAAAAAAAAAAAAACACGACAGGCTCAGAGGCCAGGGATTGGTTCAATCCCTGGACCTGCCTGCTGGCTGCACCCCTGGGGCACTCTTGAGAGGCTGTAAAAGGGCAGATCACTACGAGTCCAATCTAGTAGTAAGACCCTGAACACCCTATAGACCCTTCCCTAAGATACAAAAATAAAAATCTTAAAATTACAATTCAAAACTGGGAGGTGTAAAGAGCTAGGGATAAAGTTCAGTGGCACAAGTGCCTGCTTGGCAGGTACATGGTTCTGAGTTCAATCCCTGGTACGGAAAGAAAAGAGAAGAAAATGGGTGGAAGAAAGGCAGGCGGGATATGGTAGCACATGTCTGTAATCTCAGCACTCAAGAGGCTGAGGCAGGAGGCTCACAAATTCAAATGCAGCCTGGGCAATTTAATGACTTAGTTGAGAACTTGCCTCAAAAAAGGAATGCAGCTCAATGGGAAAGACCCGAGGTTCAATCCCCCGTACTGATATTTAAAAAAAAGGGGGCCTGGCCCTAGCTCAGTCCTTTAAGTGGCTGCTTCCACAAAGCTGTCAGCCTCAGGTTGCTGGAGTTCGAACCTCACAACCCTCCCGTTGGCCAAAAGTGCCCTGAAGGCATTTGAGGACCAAAAAAAAAACCTTTAAAAAATGGAACCGGGGATTGAATTCAAGCCCTTGTGCTTGCCAGGCAAGCGCTTATTCTACTGAGCCAAAAAAAGAAAAACAAAAGGCACCCTGAACAGGCAGGTTTTACTCCTGGCTCGTCTTTTTGACTTATATTGTCTTTATGCTTAGAAGTTTTTCTGCAGAAGTGCCATCTCACCCTGAAACACAAAGAAAAAAAAAAAGAGCAAGAAAAGTCTGCCCGTAACTCAAAAGCCTTTCCTCTTGTATGTTCAGAGACCACCTTCCTTGTCACCAAGCCCAACAGTGAACACTGCGCAACACACTGGGAGGCTCCACTGCATGGCCACCGACCACACCACAGCCACCAGTCAAGGACACCCTGCCACCTCGCCCTCTACCTGAGAACCAGTAAGAAGGCAAGGGAGGGCTCTGCGAACCTGAGAAGTCGCCTTCATCTTTGGTGGCCCACTGGCTACTACCAGAAAGGAGTGAGCAAAAGCAGGGCTCTGTGACCATCGGGACATTGGGGTCAGAAGCAGGCTGCACAGCAGGCCCACCCATACCAGTCCATCCTCTAAAGGCAGCGCTAAGCACCTGCCTGGCAAGCACAAGGTCCCGAGTTCAATACCCACCCATGCCAGCCCCAGAACCCTGAATGTACCATCAAAACCAGGCATGGTAGTGCACACCTGTAATCCCAGCACTGGGGAGGCTGAGACAGGAGGATCACTACGAGTCCAAGGTGCATAGTGAGGCCCTGTACCAAATACATAAACAAAAATAATGAAATATATTAAATAAATAAAAGGCAGTACTGCTGCCTGGTGTTAGCATCCGGAGAACAAGCAGCGACCTCACATACAGTGAGGCTGCTACGCAGGATGGTTTAACGAAAAAAAACCAAGAGACTCTGATCTTCCAGCATCACATGACACTACAGCATGCAAACACCTGGTCCAAGTACCCACCCAATCTCCAGGACACCGAGGTCCGTGGTCCCCACCTACTGACTTTCCATAGCTTGACCATGCTTGTCTGTGACTGTATGACACGCAGCACTAACTCCACAGGCCAGGACGCGGAGGTGACTGTTGCCTGACACACAACTAAAGGAATAAACACTGGTTCAGAATTTCAATGTACTCTGTCCAGAATAAAGAAATGTGAAGACTGACATCCTCCCTGCAATTGTGTCCATGAAGGAGTCTACAGTTACTGTCCCTGTCACCCTGTGGCAGATGACACAAGGATGACATCCCACACCCAAAGCAGCCTTGTTCCCTGCAGCCAAACCTTCATGGGTGCCCACAGCTGTGCAGGACCCGAAGGCATGTTAGAGATAAGGAGCGAAGACTTCCCCTGGCTCACAGCGGACACAGGAAAACGTCAGTGCCCGCAGAGAGCCTCCACCCCCAAGCAGAGGCACACAGTGCTTGTGGATGAGCGTCGGGGTGCCCGCCTCCAGCTGCAGGCCCAGCCACCTGCCCCTACAGCACAGAACCCATACCTCATGTCCTCACTCCGGACACCAGTGCAGCTCTCTGGGAAGCTGCAGCCCACGTTACCACTTGTGGCAGCTCATCAGGGACAGAGGTAGCTGAGTTAGTCTGTTTACTTGCTCCTGTTTGAGAAGCAGGCCACAGCCAGAGCAGAACCATTACCCTTTCACTAAACATGACCATCCTCTCTCATGGTGCTGTTCCCTTTGTCCCCTGCTTATGGCAAGTGACCCCACGCTACCCTCAGCACCTCCGCCCATGCACACACAGCAGTGACATTTATATATCTCATGGTCCCTGCTAAAGAGTCTGAGACAGTCACCAGTCAAACACTCTCTGACCCACCAGCTGCTATTTCCTGAACACAGCTTCCACCGTGCCCCTCGCCGTCTTTAGCAAAGGGCCAACATCTCTACAGCAGCAGCTCTGCGATGTCAGCGCCTCTCAACTTCGGGAAATGCAGTTCTGTGCCAGGGCTAGGCCCAAAGGGGCAAGCTTGCAGCAGCTGTGACGCAGAGCTGAGAACCATGGATCTGCTCTCAGAAGGCTCTGTACCACACTCTGCTGCCCACTTGTTTCTCCTGCTTCAGTGTGTGCATTCCCACCCACGCCCACTAAGCTACACTCAACCCACAACACCCAAACACCCTTCCTGCCACAGCACATGCAGCTCCAGTCGCCCACCCCACACCCCGAGTTCCTGGGGTCTTCCCAGCACCTCCACCCCAGCTTCTCATTCGCAGGCCCAGAGCCCAGCTCTCAGCAGGGGTGGAGTGCTGCCGCTCAGGGTGCCAGCAGGAACCTGGAAACGATCTACTTTATTAGAAGACTCCTTGGCAAGCTGCACTCCATGCCACTGTCTGACATACAAAACAGGCACCCCGGCCTCTGCCAGCCCACTGACCTGAAGGGCTTTCTCAGCCTTTAGCCTTCGAACTAGCTCCCCCTGTGCAGCAACTCTGTCGTACAGGGTCCTGCCTTCCTGAAGAGCAGTGGGCGCCTGAGAAGAAACATCCTGAGCTCCTGCCGCAGGAGGGCTCGCAGGTTTATATTCCTGGCCAGTCTTCTCCTTGTATTCCACTTTCAAAGCCAGCAGCTGCTTCACCGCCGCATCTATGTCTTCCTTGGGTGCTTTTCTGGCCTTCAATTCCCGCACCATGTCCCCTTGGACAGCCACTCTCCTGTGAAGGGCCAGGGAATCCTCAGACATGGTGCAAGACTTATTCACAGGAGGTGCTGCTCTTTCCTTAAGAGGAGGACTCACCTACAGACAGACAGCCAAAAGTAGAATGATTAGTTCACAGTAAACGTCTCCCAAAAAACCTATATTAAACAGACCCCAAAAATGTATCCTAAGGAAAAAGCCAAGTAAAAACAGGTAAAGGTACACGAACATTCACTAAAGCATTTTTATCATAGAAAAAAAATGGAGAAAACCTCCATGTTTTCTCTAGGGACTAATGAAAGCGGCTGCAACACAGCTACCTCGCCTGAGCCCAGCACTGCCGAGAAAGCACTTCAGCGCGACCCTGCGTTAACTACGTGCAGACACACGGGGGCTTGGCGATGGGAAAGAGGCGGCGCCACGTCCCTGGGAGGCCCCTCATCAGAGAGGCTGAGAATAAGAAGCAGGTGTCACTCTCCATGCTCTTTCACAAGCTGAGCTGTATCTAGATGCTGATTAGGAAGCAGCGCCACGAAATGCTGGGACGCAATCATCCCCGCTCACCGTGGAGCGGCACCTCTGCGTAACAGCAAGCATGCACGGACACCCACGCTCCTGGGTGTGGATACGCAACAAAGCTCCAGATACTCCCTGTATCGCCTCAGGTGAGCAAACATGCCACTCTTCATGCTCAGTGTCAGCCTTCTTTAGCCCAGCACGCCATCCTCCCGGCTCCAACCTTTCCAACTTTGAATGCAGCTTCTACTTGGGTACAGCAGCACATGCCTCTAATCCCAGTGTATAGGAGGCGGAAGCAGGAGGATCTTATGTTTGAGGCTGTTATATCTAATTTAAGCCTGGCCTGGATTACACAGTAGAACTCTGGCTCCAAACCAACAAACCTAGCTCACATCACCGAGCCTTCCCCATGACGTTCCTCAATGGTTTGCCACCTAACGTTCCAAATAATCTCATCCACGTTGTGAATGGTTTTCAAGAAATCTCTGCACCACTGTCAAATCTTCAATGAACCCCCAACCTGACAAAATCCATGGACCCCAAATTACAGACTGAGATGCTACCAGGTACTACAGCAAGCTCAGGAGCCCCGTGGGGTGCTGGCGGAATACACCTGACATCCACCAAGCACCGCATGCTCGGCCACCTCTCAGTAGCCCAGGATTAACATTATAGAGTGCTGTATTCCTTTTCCTGAACTGCTAGGCTAAAAACCCAATGTCAAATGAAAACCCAACATGGGGCTGGTGGGATAGCTCAGCCGTCCAAAGTGCCTGCTTGGGTAAACTCAGTCAGGTGCAGGGGACCGCGGATCGATCCCCAGCACTACATGCCGCACCAGACCCCCACCTAAGGTGGGCTGAGCCAGCAAAAAAAAAAAGAAAAAGAAAACCCAACATGGACAAGAAATAAGCAATCTGAGTGTAAGGGTCAAGAAAGAAATAATACTTTTTCTTTCCATGTGTATCACTGTAAGAATGAAAAATTAACCGGGGGACAGCTCAGGGGCACAGCACCTGACTGGTAGGCGCAAGTTTGGGGGTTTTTTTGTTTGTTTTTTTTTTTCAATTCCCAGTACAAAAAAGGGAAAAATTAAAAGTTAATACTTAAGGACAAAATATTAAAATGTTTTCAGAATGAAATTTAAATTTTTTTCTTCAATTTATAGGTATTATTTTTTTAAAAAATTTTTTATTTATTTGTGTGTGTGTGTGTGCGTGTGTGTGGCCAGCTCAGCCCACCAGGGGGCGGGGCTGGCTGGCATGTGGTGCTGGGGATTGAACCGCGGTCCCTGGGCTTTGCTAAGCTTGTTCTAAGTAGGTGCTTTAGACCACTGAGCCATCTCACCAGCCCTATAGGTATTATTTTTTAAATGGCCACATTATTAAAACAAATATGTATGTAATTGCTTCTATTTAACTACTTAATGAGGGGAGTGTTGGGAATTTCATTGAGCCTGGAGAATCACGAAAATACTTCAGAAAAGAAGTAATGCTACAAAGAGAGCGAGTGTGAGGCGCCGGCATGCACCACCAGCTGCACTCAGCCCTCTACAGTCCACACGTGCTCGACGAGGACAAAGTCGAATCCACAAGAAGGTCCTGGCCCTGGCTGCAGCTGGGTTCCTATCTCGCTCTGCGGAGATTCCCTTACCTCCAAGGGCTGAACCACAGAATTTGGCTACAGTCGTCTTCCACGGCCAGGAGACAAGTGCCTAGCACACAGCGTTTCCTCTCACCAACCCCACACACAGCGGCTCTTCTCCACACGGCCCCGGGGGAGGCTGGGAGGGCACCGGCAGGAAGCCAGGGGCCAGAGAACCATGCTGTTCCTCACTAGGAAGCCGGGAACAGGGCGTCCACACACCATCCATCTCCTCAGTGCAACATGATTCAACGAGAACGGACAGTCAGAGAACAAGGGCCCACTGCCCTTCACTGCCATCAGGAGAGCACAACTTTGCTAAACATATTCTTTTCATCTAGCCTTCTTCTTTTTGACATAAGATTATCCTTTAAAAAAACTTGTTTTGTAGTCTGGGCGTGGTGGCACACACCTATAATCCCAGCAGTAGGGAGGCAGAAAATAGGATCACTACGAGTCAGAGCTGCGTAGTGAGACCCTGCACGAAAAGAAAAACAAACAAAATTGTGCCAGGTTTTTCTGATGGTCCATAACTGTCGTCTCCACAACAGCAATCAAGAAGAGGAATCGTGAACTCAAGGCTGGGCTAGACAGGCTCAAGGCTGACCTGGTCTACACACTGAGACCCTGTTTCAAGAAACATAAATAGTAGCTCAAGTAGTTTGCAATTAGTGTCAAACGTAAGAAGATGCGTCTAAAAACTAGGACAGAAAGGCCACCGAGTATAGACTTAGGTGCCATCATGTCACCATTACCTCAGGTTTTGTGGTTTCTCCTTTGGTCTTTCCCTTTGACCCAGATGTTGGCATTTCCTTTGTATGTCCATCAGGAATATATATCAAAACGCAGGGGGCTTCCTTGCAACTATACGGGCTAAAGAGAAAATGAAAGGACAAAATGTTTCCTTGAATGTATTAACCAGCAAGTAAAACTGAATCCCCAGAAAAATTCAAAGCACAGAGTTTATGCTTTTCAAAGCATTAACAGTCCATCCTCTGACAACTCAGATCAAAGGCTCTTTAGAGTCATTTCAGAGCAGCAACACACGAGTAAAAACCAGCCTTCCACTTTATGAGTGCATGTCAGTGTGCCCCTGACTTGAAGGGATGCATCTACACACTACACCTCATCTGCCAAGCACAAAAATTTCGTGAAAGGTATGTTTCTCTATTTTTTAAAATTTTATTTATATATTGTTTTTTGTACTGGGGATCAAACTCAGGACCTCAGGCTTGCTAAGCAGGTGCTTACGCCACTGAGCTGTCTCTCTGGCCCTGTTTCTCAATTGTGACAGATATAGTAATATCAGTAATACACAGTCTCGTCCCTGAGGCTACTCATAAGGAAAAGATGTCTTCAAATTGTGTGGTGAAAGTGTGAACAATCAGGGAACAGTAGGACTTTATCTCCATGTATTTACTGATATAATTCCCATCCAAAACATCCATTCCTTCTGAGTAACACCTCATGGTCACATGACACCATGCCGCCACCACTGTGCTACTTCACATCATTTTCACAGTGTCAGGAAGACCTCCTGCCCTCACTGCTGCCAGCAAGGCAGGGCCCTGGATGGCATGAAATTGGAATCATGGGACACAGGGTCTATTGTGACCAGCTTCTTTCACTCTGATTCATGACAGCATGATTCAAATCAGTATTTCATTTATTTTAAAGAAAATATTCATGACATGGACATGGGGCCATGTATGCATCAGTTACAAACATTTGGGGTTCTCTCAACTTTTTGGCAGCTAACTCTGAGTACTGGGTGTACAAGTTTTTGCCTGACTGCTAACGTGACCATGCTCTTCCCAACCTACCTGATAAGAGGGGGCTGGAGCTTCCCTCCTATGAGCCACTAACAGTCACCACTGGTCTGTATCTTAGCTGACCTGTAGTCCAGTCTGCATTTCCTAAATAACTAACAATGCTGAGCACCTTCTCATACTACGATGAATATAAGCTCTGATGAAGTATCTTTTCAACTCTTCTGCTCATTTTAGTTGGGTTATTTTCGCTCATGTGTTGCAAAGCTTCTTCATATTCTGGACACAAGTTCTTTATCAAGAGATACATACAAGTCCTTCCCCGCTTCTGTGAACTGTACCTCTCTCCACAGCAGAGTCTCACTGTATCCCTCAGGCTGGCCTTCAACTCCTGGGCTCCGGGGATCCTCCTGCTGCCACCCAGCGAGCAGAGAGAACTAAATGGTTCACTGTTTCAAAGCTATCACTTTGGAAGTCTAAACTACTAAATACAGAAGACCAGATCACATGGAGTAGAATTCTGTCAGGTACGGCACTTGGTGAAGGCTTAGCTTTTAAATTATTCCTCATTGTGGGGGAAAAAAATTAAATAAAATGAATTATTCCTCATAAACCAGGTGTGGTGGCACACTCCTATAATCCTGGCACACCGAAGTCTAAAGCAGGAGGATTACCCTGAGTTCAAAGCCAACCTGGACCACACAGTGAGTTCAAGCCCAGCCTGTACTGCACGTCAAGACCGTCACAAAGCAGTAACAATTCCTCCTCCTGAGAAGCACCGCAAGCCTGTCCCTACAGACGTACACTGCGCTCCTCACCTGACGGGCTCATATGGCTGGTCACAGATAAAGAAGCCTCTCCGCTGGAGCTGAATAATGTCTCCTTTCTTCAGGTCCTTAAGGCAGGGATCCCCCAGCATTAGTTCTTCACGCTACAAAGACAACGTGAGACCAAATCACTTTTCTATTTTCAGAATTAAGGCAAGTCTGAAATAAAGGCAGTCTTTTCAGTAGCTGGGAGAAACCCATTTTAAACACATCTATGAAGAAGTTCATGACTACACATACATAGCAAAACTGTAGCGGCATCTACGTGGTTTCTGGAGGTAATGCTAAGCACTGACCAAGGCCCTGCACACCCAAGGCGCATGCTCTGCCACTAAGCTGCACCGCCAGCCCTCTCTCTTCTATCTTAAGGCAGGGTCCACTAACATGCTCAGTCTGACCTCAGACTTGTAGATCTCCTGCCCTGCCCTCCTATGCAGCTAAAGCTCCAGGTGTGCATCATGGCATTCAGCATACTTACCACATTTAAGAAATTAACACTTATAAACTGACTGGCTTCAGGAAACTGTTAAATAACCAGGCCACAGTCCTATGACAACACCTACCCTTCCCAACATAAGTGCAAACTGAAACGGAAAAGACATGCAGGCTGGGCCGGGCTGGGCGGTGCCCGGCAGCTGGGCAACCCGTCCCTGGCTGGCTGTCCTTGGACAGCATGCGGAGCTTCACCGTGTTTTCCTTTATGCGCTCACATATGCTTATTTACACAGAAGCCTACAGAGCGTTTCTATTTTGCTTGAGAAGTCAAAAATATTTAATATTAATTTTAAAAATTCTGAAGGAAAGCCTCGTTAACAGGCAATAGGGAGTCAACATGGTTTTGTTGCACAGATTACCTTGCTGTCCCTGTTGACGTACTGCTTGAAGTCCTCATCCTTCCCCAGCACTGGCTTTGTGATCAAGTGCTCGTAAGTGACGCAGATGGTCGGGACAGGAAGAGCCCGTGCAGTCTCTGCAAGCCAGGTGACCTTAGTGGTTTTCTTATAGTCTTTATTCTCCAAGTTCAATTTTCCATCAAGAGATACAATTTTTCCATCTGCATTTCTAGGGAGAAGATTGAAAAGTATTCAAAGAAAGAAACCATACTTATTATAAATAGGTTATTACAAAATAAACTATTATTTTATTTCATAATAAATGCAAGATTTTTCTTTGAAAAATTCAAATCAAACATGAATTTGAGTTTATAATATGTAAAACACATCCATTCACAGACAAAATATAGTATCTGCTACCAGGGTGCTAATCCACTGGACAACAGATCCAGAGACATCTGATGAGAGAACCTGGACATATGATTGAATTTAAAGTCAGCTGTATTAAGGAGCATAAAATCAGAAATACAAACTTACAATCATATGTAATGACTAGTTAACATTGCTGTTTACAAGAACAAATTGTAAGTGCGCTATTTTCATAATCTAAAAGTCAAGTGTTGTACGCCACAATAACTAGGAAATAAAATTCATCAACATTAACCAATTTTAAAGGAACTCTTGGTCAGTCAAATAGCTCAGCATATTAAAGCACTTGCAAGCAGGAGCAGGGGCTACCTCTTATAGTGAGGATTAAGTTATAAATAAATCTTACCCCAACGATCTCCCAGGAAACTATGCAATGATGATAAAAAGGGACCCTACCTTAGAGCTTTGGTTATTTTTTATATCTGGATATAGTAATCTGTAATATCATAACTGAAAGATTTTCTGATAGCCTACGAATACACTAGAACATATACTAAAACATTTAATTTGTATATAGAACTTCTATGACTGAGCCACTATTCAGTAACGTGAGGTAATGAATTAGGTAAACTAGGATCTGATTTAGGTAATGTATAGTTAAGTAAATTTTAAAAACTTTCTTTCTTTCCTGGTCATTTGAAAGCAAGCAGACAGCCCTTACCTGTGAATGCTGGTGATGTTGATGTTGCCCCAGTTGATGAAGGTCACTGTCTCCCCCTCAGCAAGCGTCTGTGCGTCCGCCCCTTCAATGAGAACCTTGGGGCTGTACCACACGGGCTTCAGGCCCACCTCGGGGTTCTGAGGCACAGGAGCAAGGCATTACTGAACACAGCGCGGACCACTCACCCACTCCCTCATCTACCTCATCCCAGCTAACAGTGGTGTGCTCCTCTACCATGAGTGCCCTGCTACAGGAGAGGAGCAGGCTTTGTTTTCTATGACTTACTTATTTTAATAGCCTTGTGTTCTCAAACTGTTAGGGACCAAATCTCTAAAACATGGATTTTTAAAAAGTAAAAATACAGATACAGGCACTCATCAGAGGTCCCAACTTGGCCGCTACCGGCTCTCCACTACGCACATTCTCCCACGTGCGTTAGTCTATGGGTCTACAGTTGGTCTACTTTGTGCTTAAAGTCTGACAAGCCAGTAGTCGTGCCTACCCAAGACGATAATCATGTCTTAACTAAATCATGGGTATACCTGAGATCTGTAATCACAGAACCCGATGTGACTGCAAAGGTAAGCCCACAGCAGAGCAGACACTGCAGCAGGCTCTGTAGTCCCACTGTGACTCAGTGCCAGCGGCCTAATGCTCTGCTTTACAGACAGATGAAAATGTGTTCGAGATGAACCGAACACATCTCAGAGCACACCTGAATACAAGAGTGCCACGCTTGGCTCTCGGCGGCTCCAACAAGTGCTGAGGTTTTTCTGCACAGTACTATGCTCCTGCTGCAGAGCAGAAAGTGCTGAGCACAGCTCTGCTGTGAGGCGCACTCTGTGCTATTAAATTTCTTCCACAGGAAATCCATAATAATATTGACTTCATTTGGCACCAAATCCTGACAAGTACTGTTGAATATAAAAACCACTCCCATTTTAGAATATTTTGCTGAGTTTACACACCTATAATATTCAAAGAACTTAGAAAAAAAAAG